GGTGTGTCCCTTGTCCAGCCGCCTCGCCGGCAGGTACGGAGAGAAAAACAAATGGTAAGGTAGCAGGTCGTGAGGAAAGGAGCCGGGGGCAGTATATACGGTGGGTCGCAACCAGGGCGTGAGCCTACAATATTGAGATATTACAGAAAAGAAAAATAATATTAATAATTTTATGACGGAAGAAGGTGAATACCAGTAGTGGTGTCTCTTGCTGTGGCTGGGAGTGGTAAGGTAGGGGGGAGGCAGGGAGTAGCATAGTGGTGTAGCTGGATAGTCCAAAACAGACGTTTTGTTGCATTTAAAATACTTGCTTTTCAAGGAAAAAGTAAGTGTATGTTTTCTATGAATTTTGTGTCTACCTTTTTGCATTTTACTCTTTGCGAAGTGAACCCGTGGTGTTGGCACAAGTGAGGAAATGCGTATGTCGTAGAGAATTTGTCCCCCTTTTTTTTTTTTTACAGTCAGACACCGTCATGAGTAGAAAGAAAGAGTTTGCTTTCGTGGACAGCAGTAATGAAGAACTTCATAGAAGAAAAATGACAGATATAAGGTACGTGAATTTTGAGATTAGTGGCTTTTATATTTTTGAGTTCTCAGAATAATTATCAGGAAATAGTACTGAAGAAATGTGGAAAATAATGTATTTTGCAGTGTTGCAATTGAGTCCATTTTTATCTTGAGTGTGTAAAACAGTTTATGGAAAGCTTTAGCATTTTGAGTAGGTTCAGGGAAAAATACATTTAAAATGTATCTTGGGATGTTGTCAAATACTGAGGTATTAGGCTACCAATATCTCATTAATCTGCATGTATATTTTAGAAGTAATTAAATCACTTATCTGTTTGATATATTTTTAGTTAAATAACTGTAGAATGAATGGGATTGAAATCAATTGAGTAACTATTAATACTGGTTCTAATTACCTTAAATCCTGCATACCTAAAGTCTCTAATACTGCTGTAGGCCAGATGTTATTTATGTGTGTTAGGATGACAAGACGAAGTGTCAAAGGTTAACTCTTGGAATAATAGAGCAGTCAAAATGGTTTTTTTTGTGATCACCCATGCACCCAGCGCTGCAATAAGCCAGTGCTTATTTAATTTTTAATATTTTATTTATTTTTTTAATATTTAATCAGCTTTCTGAACTATCACTTGGTTTGGAGAGTTTTCTTGGTTACACCAGCTTTACAGATGGTTCAGTATCACAGAGGTAAATTGCTTCTCCAGTTAAAAGAGGGTACCAAAATTTTTGTGTGCTTGGTGTTTCATTAACTGCACCTTCTTCATAATGTGATTTGGTGAAAGTGAGTGAGCTTAGTTCTAAGAGAGCTCGAAGTAGGAATTCGTGTTTGGTTGATAGCTCTAATGATCTTAAACTTTTACTTTTGAAGGCAATGTCTTAAGGTACGAGAACAGGATTTTACAGAACTGAATCAGAGAAACAGTGATTTGTGTCGTATGTCAAAAGCTATGAGCGCGAAAGGTAAGGCTTTTGAATCTTGGCTTTTATTTCCTGCAATATTGTGATATTTAGTATTCACTGCTAATTTTTATCTTTTATGGTCTGTTAAAGACAATAGATGTGCTGCCAGAGTTGATTAATGCGTTGTGTATTTACTACATTTCCCATACTTAGCAAGAACAGTCAATACCTTTCTCTTCTGCTGTTTTTCTTGAGAAAACTACTGAAAAGTTTGATTTAAAAGAAACCTTGTTTTTCTGGAATTTTCTTTGTGAGAATCTTTTTTCCCAAGAGTTGCAAGATTGTGTTGAGTACATAGTATTTATGGATGCTTGATGAAACACTTTTTTTCCTGTACTACATGTACACATTTTGAACACTTGTTTTGTTTTACCATTTTGCCTTCCCTTTCCTGTGTTTATCCTGTCCTGAATGTAACAAGAACATAATACAGCTTACCATACAGACAGTACCCTAATCATTAAATGCAAGTAAGGTGGGGTTTTTTTTGTTTGTTTGTAATTCCCAGGTAACTTCCATATCTATTTATTTGGACTTCTATTCCTAGCTTTCAAATTCTGTCATTACAGAAGTCACTGTCCAAACTCCTGTTGACCTGATGAATACTATCTAGAAGACTACTCCAGTGATCGAGTATTCCTGTTGGTTTCACTGATTAAGATGCCCTCCAGTTAACCACATTTGCACTCAGCTGTTTTCTGTTTGCTTGCTTTTACAGATTTGCATGATGACGTGAAGGATGAAGACACCGATTTTTTTTGTTTCTCTTCTACAGAAGTAAGTTGATCTAAAGCTTTATCTTCAGTGGTCACTGTGGTGGTCTGAAGTAATGATATTGCAGGATCTTTTTCGTTTTCATTTAAAGTGATTAAAGCAAGCTCAGGTCCCTTCTGAGGTAAGGGCCTGCACTTTATAACGACCCGCTCTTTGTTAGCGCTGCTCATTATGCAATGTAGCATGCATCTGATGTCCAAAGTCTGGTTTTAGGAAGGTTTGTTTTTATAATTCTCATTAGTGTTTCATGTTGCCACCTCTGTTCCACCCTCTCATCTGCATATAATGTGCAAGAAAGCAACTGGTGCATATGTATGGGTTTTTTAAACAAAAAAACCCCAAACT